AGAGAAGCTGATGTTCATCTTGTTCAGTTATAGTTGTAGAGGGCTGGGGAGAGGTGAAGTTCTGATTTAATTTTCTCTTGCAAACCCTAGTGAGAAGCCTCAGGCACAGCAATTAAAAACAAAATGTTTCTATTTCATTACTGTACCATAAATTATTCAAGTTTGAAAAGAGTAGCCTAATTGTTTTACCCATATTGACAGAGGAGTTTTCTGACTCAGTTCTTTATCGAATTACAAACCCTTTTACATAACTTTTTATTTTAAAATCTAATTTTTAAATATAAATATTTTTAAAAATATATATTTTTTGTAATTTTTAAAATATAAACTACTGTTAAAAAATTCCATGTAGAAGAGAGATTATGTATAGTAATTTTACCTTACATTTACATTTATTTACTTGTGGTACTAAAATTTGTCAAAAATAATATAAATATTCACCTTTTTGACATCCTTACATATCAAGCACTCTAAGGAGCCAGATCTCAATTCACAAACAAAAGATAGATTTTTCAGAATGTCAGTGCCATAAAGCACAAATACTTGCAAAGTGCTTTGAGAATTCCTAGTCTTTTTAACAAAATCCTATCTATATGGAGCACCCAGAAAAGGACTTATGAAAACATTTCAAAAGCTCTTTTTCCAAAGAACATGCTTTTTTTGTACCAGGGTCTAAAAACTATATACTGTTAACAACAAAGCAAACTGTTTTTTTCAATATAGCAGTAATGAAAATCCGGCTTTCACAGAATCACAGAATCACAGAATCACCCGGGTTGGAAGGGACCTCAAGGATCATGTAGTTCCAACTCCCCTGCCTAGCAGGGCCACCAAACGTACACATTCAGATCAGGTTGCCCAGGACCCCGTCCAACCTGGCCTTAAACACGTCCAAGGACGGGGCATCCACAACCTCCCTGGGCAGCCCGTTCCAGGGCCTAACCACTCTCCTTGTGAAGAACTTCCCCCTAACATCCAACCTCAATCTTCCCTCCTTCAACTTGGATCCATTTCCCCTAGTCCTGCTGTTGTCAGCCCTTCTGAAGAGTTTACTCCCCTCCTGGGTGTAGGTTCCCTTCAGGTATTGATAGGCTGCAATGAGGTCACCCCGCAGCCTTCTCTTCTCCAGGCTGAACAAGCACAACTCCCTCAGCCTGTCCTCATAGGGGAGGTGCTCCAGCCCCCTGATCATCTTAGTCACCCTCCTCTGGACCCTTTCCAAAATCTCAATGTCTTTCTTGTACTGAGGGCTCCACACCTGGACACAGTACTCCAGATGGGGCCTCACAAGAGCCGAGTAGAGAGGGACAATCACCTCCCTGTCCCTGCTGACCACCCCTGTCCTGATGGAGCCCAGGATCCCGTTTGCCTTTCGAGCTGCCAGAGCGCACTGCTGGCTCATGTTAAGTCTCTCGTCCATCACGACCCCCAGGTCCTTCTCTGCCGAGCTGCTCTCAAGGACCACTCCTCCCAGTCTGTACGGGTGCCTGGGGTTCTTCCGGCCCAAATGCAAAACCTTGCACTTTGCCGTGTTGAACCTCATTAGGTTCACCCGAGCCCAGCTTTCCAGCCTGTCGAGGTCCCTCTGAATGGCATCCCTTCCTTCCACCGTATCAACCGCACCACTCAGCTTGGTGTCGTCAGCAAACTTGCTGAGGGTGCACTCAATTCCCTCATCGATGTCATTAATAAAGATGTTAAAGAGCACCGGTCCCTTTAACATCTTTATTAATGACATCGATGTGTCATTTTGTGTGAATTGTCATTCTTCTTAGTATAGTTTTACTTTGCACCTGAAAAAGTGTGTAAAATTCTTATTGTTTGACAAGTGATTTTGATCTGTTGGCACTTTGGAAAGAAGGAAAGTTGGTTCTTGTCTTAAGACTCAGCTTAGCCACCGAAAGTGGCTCAGACATGTCCAAATGTGTGAAAGTAAGATATTAATTTGTAGGTTAATAAAACCGCTGTACTTGGAGAAATGGTTTGGTAACAAGTTGGTAGTGAAGAGAGCACATAGAAAGTTTTCATGTTGATAAGACAGAATGGGAAAAGGTACCTGATAACAAACTGAAGTATCAAGGTCTAAAAACTCCCAGAATTGTTTCCAATATACAGGTTTAGGATGCCAGTTTTGGTGGAGAACCAGCTTTCTCCCCACAGAACAGTTTCTCAGCCAAATTCTAATCTGAAGGAGTAGCAGTTTTCCCTGATATCAGTAAGCAGTGAGACACTGGGTTTATTTAGTTCAATTCTGGTGCATATCCTTGTACAAGAGAGCTTAATAGTTCTTCCAGCTCATAAAGGGAAACACAACCAGCAGTTGCAGAGAGCCTGAGGCTACATAGCTTTTGGAGCAGCAGGGAGAAGTTAAATAGCCTGGGAGCTGGCTGCAGAAAGAGGGCTCACTGGCTTGGATATTGGGATGAAAGGCTCTGAGCTGGCATGAGAAACAATATGTTTCTGGCAAAGGGGGGCCATAATTGCCAAAAAAGAGCCTTGTGGGTGGCCCATTAGAAAGGAGGGGGTTCAGCTGGGTCTGAAGGAGTCTGGCAAAGAGGGATCCTGGCTGTTGGATCTGCCAGCCTGACTATGCTTGTAGAAAGGCAATGACCTAGAGGGAGCTGGCTGGACAAACCCGTCAGGCCTTGAGCTGTCTTTAGGACTGAATGAAGTATGATGATTTTACACTTCTTGGCAACTGTTCACACACACGGAATAGGAAAAGAAAAATCCTCAGATAGAGGAAGGATATCTTCATTTCAATAGGACCAAAAGATCATGGACTCTTCCTGAGACACTTATTTTAAAAATCTGGAATCCTCTGTGCATTTGTCTTAGACTTTTCTAATTCTTTACTCATGTTGAAATTATAAAGTATTACTCTTTTGTTGCAAATTAACAGTTTATTTTTTTGCTCTACCCTTCAAGCACATGGAGTACACAAGAGAATTATTCTGCTAACAAAAGGCAAACAAACATATAACAAACCAACCAACAAATAAAAAACTCTAACAGGACTGGAACACCTTTCAAGTCTTCTCTCCCTTTCTTGGCTTGCTTGTATTTTGACTAAATAGAATCATAGCATCATACCTTTCCAAGCAGTTCCTTTGTTGTTTTATTTTAAATTACTCTGAGAGGATTCTCACTTCTAGGTCCTTTCTGTGTTACTGCTGTCAATCAGCTAATGCTCTCTCTGGTATTAATATCCCAGATGCAGTATATTACATTTCATCTTCATTAAAATTCACCTTTTTTATATTAAAAAAAAATCTTCGGATTGTCAAGATCATCTTCAGCAAACCTTGCTTGCCATCTTTTCACACTCAATTTTTAATGCAACTCCTTTCGTTTATTAAAAAAAGTATTATAGGATATGAAGCACAGGACAGAACCCGAGAGAATCTGACATAATAAGAAGTAGCTGACAAACAGCCCTGAAGCAGATGTCTGTTGTTACCTGTGAATCTGCCATAAACATCATCTGTACAAGTCTTCCTCAAGAAAGTGCTGTGCAGAGGACCTCAAAGGCTGAAAGTTGAGATGCATCCTCCTACTGTCTCCCTTTCTCTGCATGAGATGATTTTCTGTGGAGAAGAAGGAAACTTCAGTGGCTGAACTTATTTAATTATTGACAAATTGGTCTTGTTTTTCCTTATTAAATAAAAATCCTTCGGATACTTACAAATTTGCTTTGGATTCTTCCAGGCTATCAAAATGGTGTATTTTTACAATTCCATTCTACTCTTTTCCAAATGGGAAATACCTTTGCCTTCAAGCTGTCTTGACTTGCATGATTTCTTGATGAAAATTGCTACAAGTTTGGGAGTCATTATACAACTATAGAGTTCTATGTCAGAATTTCTCAAATTTCAGAATATCTAAAATATTTTAATGTTTTTCATTCTTATTGCATTAATCATACAGGAAGACTAATTTTTTTCAAAATACTTGAAATAAAAGAGACTTTGAACTTTTCAGCCTTTTCCCATCCATTTTTTTCTCCCTTTTCCTCCTAAGTACTGCTCTCAATTTTGTCTTTTTTTTTTCTTTTTTTTTTCACTTCTACCATACATTTGGAAGTTTTTAGTCTTGACTGTTTTCTCTTGTTAGTCACCAGAACTGAAACATTCCATTGTATACTCTCAGTCAGATGATTTTTGAATATTAAACGGCTTTATTATGTCTGAACTGGCTCAGCTTCCTGACTTGATTGCACTGTTACAACTTGCCTCCACTTTTGTTCTTCCCCAGACATGTCTCTGGTTTCTTCTTAGGCATCACAGTAAGCATATTTATTTTTGGTAATGTTACAGGTATGCTACCCTGTAACTCTTTTTATCTGTTTGTGGAAACTTCAATGTCAATCTTCTTGCCCTGTTATTTACATTACTCAGTCTGTGCTTTGTAGCATAAATTTATTTTTAATCCATTGAATTCCACTGATGTTAACTTTCACCTGGTGATATCAACAGGTGCAGTTTATAGACCGAAGTGTACTTGCTTTTATCTTGCTGAAAGAATATGAAAGCTGATTCTACTTCTACTTTGCATCAGTAGGGATTTGCGTAGGCCCAGTGCTAAGAGAATCAATCCCAAACTAGCTAGCCCTGCACTCACAGAGCATCTTAGAGTATCTTATAGTAGATACACAGCTTCCTTAATACGTTTATAAAGTCACACATTTCTGCAAAAGGACACGCAGACATTATGTAAATCAATGTACTAATTTCTCTCCAAACTCTCCTGTGTTCCTAGATCAATTCCCCAATGTTTTCCATAGATTTCAGTCTTTGATTAGGTTGCTTTTTTTGGTAAACTTCACGTCTCCTAGAACTCGGTGTAAAGCCCTCATCACCTTACCAAGAGAGTGTCCTAAACAGTACATGCGTTCTTTTGTCAGGGAGCCTCATCTCATGCTCAATAACAGTGTTAAGAACCTCTTGAGACAGAGATATTACTTAATTTTTAAAATTTACCTGCCCTGAATTTGCTCTTACCTCCAGCAGAAAAGTTTAATGTGCCATTCTCAGGCCATTCTGATCTATCAAAAACAAACGAAGAAAATATTATTGCCATGTAAATCATGGGATGCTGACTAATGTGTGTGAGTCTTCATTGCCAAATCATGTGTTGTGGCCTTGTGTCTTTTGTGCCATGTCTCATACACATAGGTGTCCATGACCTCTGCTCCCATTTTAAAATACTTATGGTCTGACCTACTGTTCTCATCTTTGGAATGTTATAGGGTTTTCTATTTGCAGGAATCCCTTGGCACTGGAGCCAGAAAGACACACCAGCTGAAACATCCACTATACACACTTCTAGGGGAATGATACAGCCACCATGTGTCAAAACCTTCAGGACTAAGAGGCTCAGCATGTGTACTTGTTCAAGACTGGTTAAAATAAAAGGACAGCTCTGCTGTGTGATACTGCTTTATATTTCCTGTTAATTAACTTAATTAAGTCGAGCATCTAGGGCTAGGAAATGATCTATGTTTGAAATTTTTGAAGATCGGGGAAGAAGTACTTATATGAATGGAATCTAACAAACAGAAGATTTTTCTGTCATGAAAACGTGGTGTCAGAGATTACGGTGATTAATAACCATAAAATTATAAAATTATAGCACTAAAATTTTAAATAGTCCAAGTATACTGCTTTGCAATTTACTTCTTACAGAAAAAGAGAACTCAGGCTGTAGTGATCATCTCTTGGCATGCATTGGACAATTGCTTTCACTGTAAGCTAAAGCAGCTTCCTGCACCGTGATCTGATCCTCCTTCTCTTCCACTGAGGTTCCCATGAGGAAGGAGAGCTGAGTGTCTTTTGTAGTTTCCTGTGCCCTGTGCTGAACAGAAAGCCTAAGGTCCTGTCTGGCATAAAGGAACTGAAATAAGTAGTCTGTGTATGCAGCAGTGGCTTCTGGGAATGGTTTCAGGACTTTGTATTTCCTACTTATTTTGTGCTTTTTTTTTTTTTTTTTTTTTTTTTTTTTAAATTTGTGAAAGGGTAAACATTTCAAGCTAAATTATTCAGAAGGGATTTAGGAGGTGTTTTCTTTAAGTTCTGCTGAATAACAAATGTGTGGAGAGGAAAAAAAAAACAAAACACCAAGCACTTTGCTTTGCTTTTGTGTTTTTGTTCACTGGCTACACTGAGATCTTTGAGGAGAAAGATTGTATAGATGTGCGGGGTGATTCAGTTCCCCCCTCTGCCTGAGCAGGATTTTCATAGGAACCACTCTAAACAACGACTTGAAGAGGGCTATCTCAAGGCTACTGAAGACAGAAAAGAAAAAAACCTGGCAAAATAAAAAGCCATAATAAAATCTGAAGTGATTCTGCTATTAAGGCCAGTATTCTGGTGGCATTTCCTCAGTAAATAAAGCACACAGAGTACTTTCCAAGAGATGGTATTATAAAAAGAGGCGGAATATTTTAGCAGTGCAATCTCAGTGTGAGTCCTCAGAGTGCAGAGTGACTTCACTTTTCTGAAAAAATATTTTCTCTACAAGGCAGCGGAGTGTAATAATAGCTACCTAAAGCATATGGTAGGAATTTAAGTAGGAGCCAACGTATTTCTGTATTATCACTTTGACAATACAGTGCAGCATATATACAGATGCTTGTAGTTTTAAAAAAGCCCACACATCAGTAATTGCTAGCACCATGACATAGAATCAGAGAGTCATAGAATCAGAGAGTCATAGAATCATAGAGTCATAGATGGCTTCGGCTGGGAGGGAAATGCCATCCTCCAGACCAACACTGCAGTACCCTGGATCAGACAGCCAGCCAATGCTCTGGGCCTTCACTACACTCATTGCTCTAAGACTCAATATTTTAAATCTGGAAATTTTGACAAACTTGAAAGGAAATTACAAGATGTTGTGCTCTCTAGTGAGACTGAGAACCTAAGATCTGGTTTGCTAAGTCACCTGTTGAGCCTGAGTATTTTTGTAAGGAGGAACTCAATATCCTTTATGTCATTTTTTTTATTATTTTTTTTTTGGGGAGGGGCGGGTGAGGGGAGGGCATACTGTAGTTTAAATAGTGGAATAAATAGTTTAATACTCAGAAAGCTATATTCCCCCTGTCAAACTGTCCTCAGGAGACCAGTTGGCTGTCTCCTTTTGATGCTGCACTGTTTGGTAGTTTAGCATTTATATCCACTAAGCATTAGTCCTCCTCTCTATTGCTATGGTTTTGCCTAATTTCATGTGATGCAGAAACTAATTTAAAACTTGTGAACCATTATCCCAACTGCAGTAGAATTACTATTTAGCAACAGACTCCAAACTACTTCTTTTCCAAGGCATTACCATCATGCAGATGCCATTGCAAGGTAATACCAGCTATTTTTGTAATGGCATTTTTTCATAGTCCACAACGTCATAGGTGGCAAGGTACAGACATACATAAGAAGCTGTTTACCTACTGGCTTTCAGCAAATAACATGTAGCCTTACATCCCCATTCTCTGTCTTAGCATGATTTGTGATGTTTTAGCACAGAGTTTTCAAGCTTGGACAGCTATTTCTGTGTAGATTTTAGGTATGCAACTATGAGAGATTTGTTTGAAACCATCTCAGCATTAACTGTATTAAAATGAATTTCAGTATTGCAAGGGAGCACTACTCTTCCTGTCCTTAAAATTACATACATGCTTAAGAACCTTACTTAATTGGATCTTGTGAATCAGAGTCATCAAAAGTGACAATAAATGGGAGTGAAATAATTATGTCAGAGCTCCAACACAAAATGTAGCATTAAAAGGTATGACTGAACTCGATTGCAAATGCAATTAACATTCTTGATTATGTAGTCTTTGTGGAGATTTTTGTCACAGGCTTAAAATGTTGCAGCACCTTGGAAGAATTTTAGGAATATCCCTAAGGAAGGAATGAGTTTCTAATTTACATAGAAAGGGATGAAGACAAGGAGAGAGGAAGATCCTGCTGCTATGCACGGCATTTGATTCTTGACATTGCTCTCTAGAAGTCAGTAGAAAGAAATCTGAGACATGAAACCTGTGCTGTTGAATGAGGAGTGCATCAGACATGCAGATCATTGCAGATACCTTTACACTGCATAGGAATCTAAAACTCAAGATTGTGATGAATACCAAAGAAAGTTTTTCTTCTTCTTGACTACGTTCACATTAATTTTCGCCATCATTTTTCCAGTTCTAGATCTGAGGCCAAGGGAAGCTGACACATTCAGCTCACACTCTGTCACTGGAGGTATAGCATGCAAGCGCCAGTCTAATGCTCCCCCCACGACTCACCCTTGACACAAGACTGAATGCTCTCAGTCATGCTGGAAGGGTCATCGGGGGCCTGGGAGTGCCAAGCACTGCATTGAGAAAGTTGTTCCTGGCAGCCATAGAGAACACCCCTTCTTCCAGGAACAGGTAACAAAGAGAGACCCCTCACATCAGACCCCCAGGGAACCTTTCAAACCGCTCCTTGGCTTCATGTGAGAGCACAGCATCTCTCAGCACAAGAATGAAGGCTGGAATTAAATTAAGCAACAGATAATGTTGTACCATACTTATTTGTGAGGCTGTGTTTGGAAAAATAACGTATTTATAAATCTTTTCTACAAAGTTGTTACTGCTGTAAAATATTCAGTGGAAGGTGTTTTAATAAAAAAAAAGAACAAAAAAGAGGCAATTCCAAGTCTAAGCATTTCTGCAGAACTTGCTGTGTAGTGCACTCTCACTTTTCACTCCTGCTGTAAAATACAAATCTGCTCTACCTATTCTGAAAGGTATCTGTAGTTTGCTCACTCCAGCAGCTGTTAAAACTGTGCTGTTTTTTTTTTCATTGTTTCAGTCCACAGAGATTTTTCCTGTTCTCTCATGCATCAGGAAAGACACCGTGGAAAATACTTAGAAGCCTGGTCATAAGCAGACCCAGGCTTGGAAGTAGGTCAGTAATGCCAAACAGGCTACAGAGGCACAATATTTTCATGGAGAGTCTCCACAAATGAACATAATAAAGACCATAAAAATACATATTACAACTACTAACATGTTAGTTATCTGACTCTAGTGCCTAGACACACAGTTTACTTTCTCTAGACATACCAACGTAGATTGGATTTGTCATTTGATTTTTATATTTATTTCTTCTGCCTTGTACAATCCCCCCCCAGTTATGAACCATTCAGAAGAGTTTGGAGTATTTTCCTAGGATATAAAATGCACCACGTCATTTCTTTGCCTAGCAAGCATAGGACAGTGTGTTTGTGAAGAGCTGTGTTTTGCCTGTTCCACGTGGAGAAAAATAAAAAGCACAAACCTAACCTCCAAGGATGCTTGTGTAATAAGATAAAGCAGGTAAGAGCAATAGCAGCTGAAAGACAAAAGCAAGAGACCAAATAGTGCTGAATATGTAATTTGTTTTAAAAGACCTTTGGAAGACCTAATTTGTACTCAAGTTTCACTATGAAGTGCAAGCAGCTGTTAGAATAAATTACAAACCTGAAAGCCTGTGAAGAAGTGTTTATTAAAACATAAAACCTGATATTCTTCTCAGATTTCAGTGGTAAACAAGGCATGAACAGTTGCTACTCTTTTCCTGCAGACACCAACTCTGCTGGAGTTCAAGATGCATTTGGACAACACTCTCAGATACATGGTTTGATTTTGCAGTGGTCCTGTGTGGAGCCAGAAGTTGGACTCTGTGGTTCTTTCCAACTCAGATTCCATGACTCTATGAAATTAGGCAATGATTATACTGCCATTATTTTATACCGATTGTTGTCTTTTCTTCTTTTTTTTTTTTTAAGGCTGAAATGAAAACAACAGATGTAAAAGATAACAGTATATTGGAAAAGCCCAATATAAGAGTGCACAGCTCCTGATGTCCCAAGGTCCTTTAAAATGTTTATACTCCACTCTAATGGGAGAAAAAATGTGCAGGGGGAAAGAACTTTTCATTGCAAGGTGTCAAGGGGCATTCAGTTCCTTGTTAAGGCAGTTAAAACAGAAATGGGAACATTGTATTTTCTAAATAAAATTGCATGACGTATTCT